GAGTCTCCGAACCCTGAGCCAGCTCGTGGGTATTCATCGGCTTGAGTTTTACACAGCATTATCCACCCACCTGGGATGCAGGTGCTCAGGTCATATATGGGATGGGACAGAGTGAGCCTGAGGAGTAGACGTGCCCGCCACTTCAGTGAACAAGGTGGGGTGGCTGAGAAAGAGGTCACTGTCATCCATTTGAACCCAGGGAGGGAGGCGAGCGTCTTGCGATGGGGGCGCAGGACCTCGTGGGCAGGAGGATTTTGCCGTGTGGGGAGCTATGTAACATTTAGCATCCTTCTCATGACAAACAGTGGGAACTGATGTTTTCTTGTCCCCTGGCACTTGTGAGGCATTGGTAACCAGTTTTATTTTTCCGTTTTAAAGATGAGAAAGATGAAGCTCGGGCTGGTTAAATGAGTTGCTCAGCGTCCCATGGTGAGTCTGAGCGGGCGGCCAGGCCCAGCTGTCTGTGCGCCTTTGGAAGTTTGGTAGACCCAGGAGGCGTTGCTGCCTGTGGAAACGGTTTTTATTTGGATCATCAGCTACATGTTTCAAATATGCTGTCAACTTTTAAAGTCACTGGGTCTGAAAGTTTTCGAGATGTCTAGGATATTAGTGCTTTTAAGAGCCTGAGAGCCATCAGACTGCGGGGATTCCGTGACTGTTTAGAGAAAGCAGCAAGACAGGAGAAGTTTAAATGGCGTCTTCACATGCGGCCTTTCCTGTCCCTCACCACCAAATCTCCCTCATGTCCAATAACTTGTGAATCTCTCCGTAGTAGTAAGTATTGAGGAGATTTCTAACACAATGCTAGTCTGTGCTTGAAAAATGTTGCCTTTCGCTCTTGATAGTTTCCGGAAAGCTGGCCTCAATTCCCTCACATGCCCTGGGCCTAGCACCTGCTGTACCAGCCTGGTAGAGCCAGGAGTGCCCGGGCCACTGAGCATAATGCCGCTGAGATCTGTGACCTAGAAATACTGTAGAGCAGGCTCGCGGGGTGGGGCCTGCTGCGCCGTGCTCCTCCGGCCTCACCTGCTTCTCTCTTTCTGTCTGACAGGCCTAGCCGCCCGCCCGGTGCCTCCCGCACTGCTCCTGCATGACGGGCAGCACCTCCGGCCCTCCAGTCTGCCCGCTGTGTCTAGCTGCCCTAGGAGCTTGCCAGCCGCACCTCTGGGACTGGCCCTTCCTTTCGGTGCTGCTGTCCTTGTGGGGTCTTGATTCTGGATACATGTAGCTTGGCCAGATATGTGCTTAGAGATATCACCTGTGTGAATAAACCCATTTACTGTGTAACACTCCGTTTAACAGTTAAGAGAGTAGCTGTTCACCCTGTGACAGGTGTTAGTGTCACGCAGGTTTATTACAGTGGCATGATAGTGACCTGTGCAGTCACTGAGCTGTAGGAGTGAGGCATGTGCTGCACGCCCCTGTCGTACTTACAGACCCGGCCAGTGCCCCTGCACAGGGCCTCCCAGGACACACTCAAGTAGATTCGCTGTGTAGTCTTGGTGTGGAAGTTTGGCATTTCTGCTTTTCTCTACTAATCTTTAAGTGCTCTGTGATGTGTGTATTTGTGTCTTTCTAACTTCTAATAAACTCACTCCAACTGACCTGTGTCTTGCGTCTGTCTGCTCTGTACATTTCTCAGTCTTCTGGGACGCAGCGCTGCGTGGCCTCTAGCAGCAGCAGGTTCTGAAATGCCCCGAAGGGGCCGTTCTGAGATGAACGCTGCTGTGCCCAGGGTTTCCACTCTGCGTTTGACTCATGTCCGAGCTCTGCCGGGTGTCTCTGGAGTGGCTAGTTGGTTACGGGGACAGCTGGTTGTCTTTTCACTTCCTACAGGTATCTCGGGACTCTCAGTATTTGTATAAAAATGAGCATTTTATTAAAAAACTTGCAGCTACATTTAATTGACATTTAAATTTGCTGAAGACACATCTAAGCCCTGCGTAGGTGGGTCTGTTGGGAGGACACTGTCTTGCTGAGGCCTGGCGTCCTGGTCGCTCTGCTGCCCGGTGCACACATGCTCCTGCACCGTGGAGTTACACTTGCCTGACAGTCCTGGGATCTGCCTGAGTTCTCTTGACTCTGTGCTGTCTTTGTCCTGAGACAGCCGTGGGCTCACTCCCCTGTGGTGACGTGGCTGCTTCTGCTGGGATTCTTCATGTTCAAAGGATTCCTGGTCATGGGTTGTTTTTAACATGGTCATGCACACTGCAGTCTGGTGGCTTCAGCAGGACTCACTTGTCCACCACTGCCTGGCAGCAGTTGGGGTCATTGGGCTGAGCGGGGCAGAGGGGCACCCACACTTCACACTTGTTCACGTGTTTTTCAGGATGGTACTGGATCTTTAAGGCGCAGTGGCTCCTTTAGCAAACTCCGGGCTTCCATTAGACGCAGCAGTGAGAAGCTGGTTAGGAAGCTGAAGGGAGGAAGTGCACGGGACAGTGAGCCGAGGAACCCTGGGTAACTATCTCCAGCGCCCTCTTCCTACCAGCACGCGGTACCGGCGCCACAGGCGCAGTGCGGCCTCCCTGGAGCGGCCTCCCTGGGGCTCAGAGTTGGGCCGGAGGCTTCGGTACTCTGCTTATGGTTTTCCAGGGCAGGTTGAGAAGAGAAGCAGCCGGGAAGCTGGCTGGTAGGGCTCAAAGGGAGCTGGTGGAGTCCCTCAGTTCTGTTCAGAGAAAGCCTCCTGGTGACGAGTGAGCCAGGCATGGTGGTTCTCGTCTGTAATCTCGGCGTTTTAAAGGCCAGCACAGGGGACAGTGAGACTCCATCTCCAAAAGTAAAAATGGGGCCCGTGAAATGGACTAGGGGTTAAGGGTGCCTGCCACCAGGCCTGGTAACCCTCAGGACCCATACGGTAGGAGAGAACTGACTCCCACAAGTTGTCCTCTGACCGCCACATGTGTGTCATGGCACGCACACACACACACACACACACATACACACACACACACACACACACACACACACACTTAAAACCAGTGTGGAAATGGCTAGGTGTGTAAAGCGCTTGGTGCTCAAGCCTGAGGACCTGAGTTGGATCCCCAGCTTTCATGCATGGTGTCGTGTGTGTAAGCTCTGACATCCAGTCACCAAAGTGGCCTGCTCCGGGTTCAAAGACTGTCTCAGTAAGGTGACAGAGGAGGACACCTGAAGATGATCTGGGGACTCTACATGTGTGCACAAAGGGGAGTACACCCACATTCTCATGTGCACACATGCACCACACACACACACACTCACACACACACACACACACACACACTTACTCACACACACCGCCTACACAAGCCACCAAGTCGGCAGACATAGTGCACAGTATCATTTCTTTCTATGTTAACATTGCCTTAACCCCTTTTTAAAAACTCACCTTCTGAGATGGAAGCAGTAATCACATTAACTCAGGCAGGGATTATGGGGAAAAGGATGGTTTTTAGTGAGGTTTGAGTCTTGTGATTTTGTTATAAGGGGTGTCCATCGCTTTCCAAAACTCTGGGCTTCCCTGGAAAGCCCATAAGGAAAGATATGTAAGTCACAGGGCTCTGAGTGGTGGTGTTCACATTGTCAAAGGGATTTTCTAAAAGGTGGCTCACACGTAGGACTCTTGGACTTCTGCTGCTCTGTGACAAGCTACCCATGCCTTGTCTCTTTGTGATGCCAGCTGCCCACATTTGGGGACATTCTCTGGAGCCTTGTCAGCCATTTTCTGTATCCCAGACTTCTGGGATCAAACCCACCATGTAGAAATGCTTAGGAATGCAGCTTTAAAAGCTGCCCATAGAGTGCTGTGAGTCAGGACTCTGGGCTGAGTCTGCAGAGGCCTTTGGAACTAAAGTTGTGTTTTCCAAACTGCTCCGCTGGTTTCCAGCCTTCTGAAAGTGTCGGCTTTCACTTTCGGTGTCCTTAGTTAGGACCCAGACCTGGCTCCCTGCCTGGCCCCCCAGCTGGGCATTGGGCGATGATGGGTGCGGCCTGTCTTGTGCAGGTGTTACACTCTTGGCCACTGTCCCTCCAGAAGTCTCTTTGGGTTCATAGTGGACTGGGAGACAGGTGGGCCTGAGGCAGGAGGTGCACTCTGGTTCTTCTTCTTAGTAGTGTGCTGGCCAGCTGCGTCTGTAGAGGTCTGAGGCGTTCACGACATCGTGAACACCTGGAAGATCCATTGTCTGAACCCTGCCTGGAAGCCTTTGGGGCAGACTGCCTTGTGCTGGTCTCTGCCTGTGAGGGAGACCATGCCAGCTGCCTCTGGGATGAAGAGCCCTGATTATCCCAAGCTTCTAGACATATGTAGAGTCAGCAAGGCAGTGTCTGTTGTGTGAAGTTGAGGATTAAACACTTGCATCTCTTCCAGCATTGAGAGGGAGCTTGGTGGCTGCCAGAGTGCTAGAGGTAGAATCCAGGGTCACACTTAGGCTGGGCAAATGCCCATTGTCACAGAGCTTGTATGTGAGGGGGCGTAGCAAGGAAACTGCTGGTTTGACTGCTACGTTTGTAGGGAAGGTTTTTATTGGGAATGAGAGAGAGAAAAAAAGAGACGCATCTGGAAGAATCCAGAGAGAGAGAAAAGAAAGCAGACTGGACATGGTCAGGACTGGGAAATCGGGAGAGGAGAGGATAGTGGAGACAGCAAGAGATAGAGAGAGGGTTCCAGCGGTGGACAGATCACGTTTATCGTAAGGAGGAGGAGTGGGGGAAGCAGAGCGGAGACGAGTGCTGATTCTGAGGGAGCCTGGAGACCAGCATGGCTTTGATATGCTTGCTCAGAGGCACCACTTCAGCCAGAAGTAAGAGAAGTGACTCCTTTTGGCCAATGGGAAGCAGTTTCTCAATTTCCTGAAGAATGCTGCCTTTTGTCTAATGGCCAGAAATCCTTCCATAGTCTAGCTTGAGCTCCTTTCTAGACATATGGACACCATGAGACCTAACAGAGCTGGCCAGCCTTTTATTTTAATTTTGAGGCAGGGACTTACTCTGTAGCCAAGGCAAGCCTTGAATTTGTGATCCTCCTGTCTCAGCCACCCGAGTAGCTGGGATTGTAGGTCTGCACCCCCAAGCCTGGCCTGGGCCCACCATCTGAGCGGTGGTTCTGTTCCTCAGGGAGACCGAAACTCTTAGTGCGCAGTCAGTTCTGGAATGCCCTGCTCAAGAGAGAGTGCTTGGAATTTTCCTCTTTTTCCTGTCTTCCTATGGCTTACCGTGCTAACAGCCAGCAGCAGTGTGTGGCCAGTCCTGATGGAGTGGGGTGGTGTAAATGCCGTGGCCCCTTAGCAGCCAGACATGATGTGAGGTACAAGTCCACATTCCGTGCTGATGTTTCTCAGTGACTTGGGTTATATGCTACACACCGTGTGAAACTGAGGCGTCTACACCTCTGCTCTTAGCACTCACACGTGACTGCTGCACTGGAACACTCAGACCCGAGTCGTTCCAGTGTCATGGATCAGACAGGGCATGCCGGGCGGGGCCCTGTGCTTCCATTATCTTAGGAGGGAAGGGAAACTGAGAGACAAGCTGGCGCAGCCTTCTTCAGAGAAGTTAGCCTTCCCTAAGAATAATTGGGCTGGGTGTGGTATAAAAGCCTTTGAATCCAGCGCTCAGGAAGCAGAGGCAGGCAGAGCCCTGGAGTTCAGGGCTAGCCTGCTCCACAAGGTGAGTTCCAGGCCTCAGCCAGAACCACAAAACGAGATCCTGTTTCACTACAGAGCCAGTTCCGGGACAGCCAGGGCTACACAGAGACTCTGTCTCTAGTAGTCCCCCCAGAGAACAGCTTGTTCAGATCTCCAGCGGCATATGATTGGGCTGTGCGGAAATATTTCTCTTTAGTTTTGTCCTGAAGCTTTTGGTACAGTAGATGTGAACAGAGCTAGCCATTTTCTGGAGTGTGCACAGCATCTGTGCCCCATAGGCTGCCACGCACCTGGCCTCTCAGCAGAGAAATGGTGACTTCATAGTTGGTCTTGCTAATAGTTAAAACTGCTTTTCTTATTTATTTACCCCAAACTATAGAATGTGTTTATGCATCTAGTTCTCCCGGTGAGCCTAGTGTTTGCCTGGGGTAATGGGCCCTCTGAGAGCCCCGACTCATCTGACAGGCAGCAGAGTCCCAGCCCTGGCTGGGCGGGTTCAGAAGGCAGCGGTACTTGCTGCATTAAGAAGAATTAACGCTGCAAACATGCAGAGACATGGGTGGATTTCCCCTGGGCACTAAATCCAGTTAAAGCATGTGCATATTCAGGCCAAGTGAGAGAAAGGCCCACTCTCCAAGTCCCGTGGTCCCCAGCATCCCAAGAGCAGGAGGGTCACCCTAGTGTGTTTCCTGCTTCGGTTACAATGTGTCCATGGTTTGTCCTTGCATGTCCGTGTCCAGCAGTACAAAGCCTGTCAGTTCTCTGGGTGCTCTGCTCTGTCCTTCCCCTCCCTCCCCTCCCCTTCCCTCTCTCCCCTTCCCTCCCCTCCTCCAGTAATTGCTGTCACTCCCTTGAGCAGCCTCACACAGATCACCAGGCTTCGTCTCCCTTACACTGAGAGCTTCGTCTCCCTCTGCAGCCAGTGGCCTTTCTGCTTTGCCTTTCTGTTAGACAACATCTGGATTGGCAGCTGGGTGTTGCTATCATTTAGTGATCCTGGAACTTGCCCTGTTGCTTGGGTGCTCTGAGCATGCCTGGCAGCTGGAGCAGCTGTGACTGTGAAGGACATGTCTATGCTGGCACATAGAGCTCAGTCCAAGGTGACGGACTCCTTGGTTGTCACACCTGATGGGACCACAGCTCTCTGTGACCCACATTCAACTAATAAAGTGTCAGCTGTCACCCTAGCCCCAAGTGGAGGATGAAGGACACTCTGAGACACCAGGTGGTGTGCTCTAGGCATACCTGTCATGGGAGCTAAAATTGGTTTCTGGTGCTGGGATATACTCAGACCTTTTGCTCATTAAACACACCCTGCAGAGCTGCACCCAAGCACTGAGCTACACCTCTAAACCCAAATGCTCAGTGTTTTATATGCATAACATTGCTTGAGGGTGACCTCCTTAGAAGTATTGGTTAAATATAATTTTCCATTGGCTTTTTCCCACAGGGACAACGTAATTGTCTGGCAGAGTTGAGAGCACTGAGTGCCGGCCACACTGAACTAGCCCACTGAGGGCTGGGGCTGAACTAGATAGGCTCTCTGAGAGGAGTGGAACACTGACAGCCCTGAAGCCCTGGCAGTTCCTCCAGTCTGCCAGGAGGGAGATTGCCCTCTTGGTAGGAGTGGGCTTTCTTTCTTGATGGGGACATCCACCAACATCTGGGGTTGTTGCTTAAAAAGTGCCTGGCAGCCATGCCCCAGAATTCTGTTGCTTAATCTGCACCTGTGCTTGGGGGCTGCTAATGACCAGAGCCAACATCATTGTGCCCAGGGAGGCAAGCCAGGCTGCAGCTAGAGGCCTAGGCATGCGTAGATCCACTGCTGCATGTGACTTCTGCCTCCCACGCTGTCATAACACCTACATCTATTTAAAATTTGAACACTGTGAAAAAATCGTCAAGCATCAGATGCTTAAAATACTTCCTTTCTGACCAGGAGCTCACAGTGGTCTGTGTCTGTTGAGCCTGGAATGTGGAGGGAAGAGATGGAGAAGCGGTACACAGGGGAGCTGCTTCCCACAGGCCTCTGTAGACCATCTACTGCTGTTGGGTCAGCTTTGGTGGCGGGTGTTGTGCCAATGTTCTAGAGGCCCCTGTCCTTTGGGCCCTGTATGCCGAGCACACAGAAGCTTTCTCACGGGTGTGTTCTGACAATAATGTCTCAGATCAGTCCAAGACAATGTGTGAGACTAACCTCAAGTTGAGAGAATAGGGCCCGGGAAACTCTGAACTTGTAAACCTAAATCAGGGCAGCAGGATGCAGCCTTTGGGCTGCAGGCACTTTCCGGCTCAGCCTAACATTGGTCTGAAGAACTGCATGGTTCTTGGGAAACATCAGGTTTTCCAGCTGGTCTGAGTACAGTGGTGTTAAACTAATCTATCACAACCAGTTAGAGATTTCTGAGGCCAGGCATGGTGGTGCACTTGAATCCCAGCCCTCAGGAGGCAGAGGCCAGCCAGGGCTCTACAAGAAAGACCCTGTCCTGGGCAAAGTACCAGGGTTGGGGCTGGGGAGGTGGTTAAGCAGGTAAAGCTCTTGCCACTCAAGTGTGAGGAACGGGAGTCCCTGAGAACTCAGGTCAAAGCCTGGTGGGTGTGGGCCTCCAAGCCTGCAGAAGGTAACAGATCTTAGAGCAAGTTGGCAGGCCTGACTGCTTGGACACTGTACTGCAGAGGAGCACTCTGGGAACTTGTTTGCAGTCAACATTGTGCAAGATTCTGTTGCACTTCATGTTCTCAGGAGACAAGCAGGGGTCCACTGTCCATTTTCACCATGTTCTTTATGGTGAGGGGATCCCGAGAGAGAGAGAGATGTCAACAACCTGAGGTGGTTATTGCAGGGAAGCTCATGGGTGGTGGGCACAGCAGGCAACTGGATGCTTCCGGGTTGGTGTGTGGTCCAACACATTGAGTGTTGGAAGGGTTCAGATAGGAATTTTCTGTAAAGCTGCTGGAGACGTCATGTAGAAAGTCGGTGTGTGTGTAACCGTGGCTCTGCGTATGGACATCAGGATAACTTTGTGCCTTCTGTTCTCTCCTTCCAGAGTGAATTTAGGTTGCCAGTTTGTGCTGCAAGGGCCTTTACCCCTTGAGCCTCTTGCCAGCCTGAGGAAGTCAGTGTAGTGGTGTATATTAAATAATTGCTAGAGATGCGTGCTTACAGTCCACGTAGGCCTATGGGGCACGTGAACCTAGTTTGTGTCCTACATTCATCTGCACTCATTCTTGAGCTGATTGGACCTGTGATGCAGACTTGAGCAGTAGGATGGCATGTAATGCAGAAGCAGGTGGGCAGGGTTCCCCAGCTCACAGTGGCAGGAGTGGTATGGACAGCTAGCTGATGGCAGCAAATCCAGAGATACTGGGACAAGTTGTTCCCAACACTGGGAAGAGCATGGCTCCCATATCCTCAAAGATGCTCTGGCTTTATCATGTGGACCACTGTTGGGGTGGACTTGCAAGGCCCCTTGACCTAGCTGCTGGATACGGGAGCCTTGGGCATGGCTTCTAAGTGTGCCTGTTTTGGAACCATGTTTTCTAATTTTCAATACAAACTATTTAGAAAACAATTTAGAATTGTCACTACTTTGTTATAAAGTTTTATTTCCTGATATAAAGCCCTCCAGTTTTGCAGAGAGGCTGTTTGTATAAACCACTCCCACCCCAAGTAGCTGTGTCCCATCTCTCAGGCCAGCGTCCTCAGCCTTTCAGGCAGCAGGTGGGGCTGGGCACAGTGGAGACCCTAGGTTCCGTCTCCAGAATTGCCAAAAAAGGGGTGGGGGCTGCAGGTAGCTTTGAAGGTTTGAAGCTCCATGCATGGCGGGGCTCTGCTGGAGATGTCGTGGTATATGCCATGAGTGTCTGTCCCTCTTGGAGTGGGGACAGTGACTGGAGTCACACACCACTGGAGCAACAGCACTCCTTGGTGAGGCCCTGTCCCTGTGTGGGTCTACGTGGCACATTTGCTGGTGGAGGCCTGTGCTGCCAGGAGGGATCAAAGCCACACCCCTGTCTTCAGAGGCCACATTCCTTGGTGACTGTAGAGCCTCAAGTCCAGAAGTGATGATTCTGGGGTCCAGAGCAGATGTCACCAGGAGGTGCCTTCTGCTGAGCATGCCCGTAGTCCTGTGGCATGCTGTGGCTCCATAGTGCCCCCCAGCCTGGACGTACTGCCAAGTCAGAGTTGCTGGACATACTTAGCCAGGCCTCTGCAAGGACACACAGACCCGTTTCCTGCTGTCTCTCTTAAGTTGCTGGAAGCTGCTCGGCCTGAGGCAACCAGGTTAGGACAGTCCTACATCCTTCCCCGAGACTGTTCTGGAACCAGGGCCCAAGGTCAGCTTGTTTTCTCCTCTGCCCCACCATGTTGTGTATGTGTGGGGAGGGGCACAGCGGGGAAGTACCTCACTGCGTGCCCCACTTGGCCTGAGTGGTGAGCATCCCTGCCTGTTTGTGGGTTAAGATCACCCTGCATGAGGAGGCCCCACCAGACCAGCTGCTGACTCAGCCCCAGGCAGAAAGCAGAAGAGGCAAGAGCTGAGCCTTGTCATTCTGGGGTTCCCAGCAGCAGACACCCTCAGGACTGCCAGGACCCCTGGTTGGCCATTCATCCTCTAAACCAGTGGTTTTCCACCTTCCCAACGCTGCGGCCCTTAAATTCAGTCTTCATGTCTTGGTGACCCCAACCATCAAGTTATTTCACTGCTACTTCATAACTGTAATTTTGATACTGTTATGAATCCTAATGTAAATACCTGTGTTTTCCAGTGGTCTTAAGCAACTCCTGTGAATTGTCTGACCCCCAAAGGGGTATTGACCCACAGGTTGAGAACCACTGCTCTGAAGGGCAGTATGTGGGGCAACTCTACGGATCAATAGTAGGTGAACCCCAGGGAGAGAAGAGCAGATGCTAAGTGTCACTGGTATCTGTGCACCAGGTGCCACTAACACTGTTGGAGGGACTCATCAGAATCAGGGTTTCTTGGGACCTGGTCAGGTGACCCACTGGTGCCACTGTTAGCAGGACTCAGGTCCTGGTATCCCTCTAATGCCTTCCCCACTGACAGTGTAGCAACAGGAGGAGAGGGGCAGGTGCGGGGCGAAGAGCACTTGGAGGGTCCGAGCTGGGCTTCTGGGCAAGCCCACCGTGGCATCGTCCTCATGCACCCGGTCCACCATCAGTCTCATCAGGAGCTGGTTGGCCCAGGTGATGCCCAGGGCTGGCGAGAGGTGCTCATCCCAGGCCCTGAGACACAAAACGGGTGTTGCTGCTGTATATTCCCACCCACTCCAGCATCGTTGTTCGGGGGCCCGTACTCACCCCAGTGGCCTGGGCGTGGACTCCTCCGCCATTTCTGTCACCTGGGAAAACCCAAGCGAGGGTCAGTGACTGCGGCCACCTCAGCTGCTTCCCTCCCGCCCAGCCAGCGCCGCTTGCCCCAAGGAAAGGGCACAGCCACTAGCCTCCCTACCTGGTTGATGCACAGCACGGGGCTCCGGAAGGTGCTGCTCAGACTTCGGAGCGTGGCCCCCAGTGACTGCAGGCGCTTGGCCCTGGTGGCCAAGGCCTGAGCATCGTACTCACAACGAAACGGGGCTGCGACAGAGTCGACCACCACCAGACGGGCCATTCCCCTTGACAGCAGAACGGGGACCCTCTTACTCACACACTCCAACAAGGCGTCCTGTGGGGACATACACGGTAGTCTACACTGGCCCTGAGATGCGGCTTTTTGACACTTCCTGGCTGCCTCCTGCCCACCTGGCAGGGAGACTCACACCTGTACCTTCACTCTTACTGTCCTCTCATAGAGCACCTTCCGCTGTCTCCCAGCCCCTCACCCTGAGTCCTGTGGAGGGCTGTGAGCATCACAGTGACTGTCCCCTCGGAGTCACCCAACCCAGCTACAGCTCCAAGGCTGACAGGATCAGCTCACTAGGCTGTGTGGTCTAGAGAGCAGCTCTGCTTGGCCCCACTCCAGTAGGGTGTGGGGGAAGGGCCAGGTGCCCTCCTGGTCTTTGTAGTGATGGGCAGGTGGTAGGACGGAGCAGTGGTCTGGTAGTGTGTTCTACACACACGGTACCACACGCTCCTGAAGGGGTTGAGAACCTGCACCATCCCCCACCTAAGGCTGCACCTTGGAGAGGACTGGTGAGGAGTAGGGAGAACACTGGGCAGCGCCCCTGCCGCCCGCTCCTGCAGTCCTAGACTGAGGCAGGTGACCTGCGCTTTCTTCTTGGGGCCACTGTGCCCTGTTGGCACCAGGCGTGGGTGACTTGTGATCTGGTCAGGAGCCTGACTAGCTGAGTGGCCCAGGTGAGGGTCACGTGGCCACGGTGGAGTGGTGAGGTTGCAGCCAGGGCCTGCACACTGTCCCTAGTTCAGGGTCTTCCAGCACTTGTGACTGGCCAAGCAGGTAGCCAGCAGTCCTCCTGAGCCGTGGACTCTGACATCTAGCCCAGAGTGAAACTCAGTCTGTGCTTCTCTCTAGGGCGTCCCCAGCAGAGCCTCTGTGTGTGGAAAACGACAGCAGCAGCCTAGAAGACGCTAGCACTAACGTGAGTGTCTGCACCTCCCCTCAGCCAGGGCCTGGGGGCCCGGGATGGCAGTGATGGTGAGAAGGTGTGGTCCACACGGCTGACTCAGGTGGAGGAGGGGAGGTGGTTCTGTGTTCACATCCTGTTGAGCCCTAGCGGGGCTGACACCGCTCCATTGCTGGGCAGGCCCAGGGTGGGAGGGGACGGAGCAGCTCCCAGTGGTGGCCTGGCCTCACCTGCAGCTTTCTTTTGCAGTGACCTGAGCCTGGCCTGCTCTAAACACCATGATGCTGCTGTTGAGTGTGGCTCCAGAGCTGGCCCTGGGAAGGCCACGGTGGGGCTGGGAGGGCCCTGGGCTGGGAGCCACAGTGCTAACTTAGTTCCCCTGCCCACGCGCTGCGGAGCACATACTACTAGCCACCCACTAGTGGGGTCTTGGATGGCCTGGCCCTGCTCCCCTCTGGGCGGCCCTGGGACAGGACCCCTCTGGCTCCTGCTGCTCCGCCTCCTTGTGGCGGCACTTCTCCTGTGTTTAGTTCTCTGTGTGGTGTGTGATAATGTATTTTTATTGTACATTTTTTAAAATTAAAAGTTTATATGCTGTACTGTTTACCAGAATGAATGTCTGCTCATAAATACCCCCTGCCTCCCACTGTTTTCCAAGACAGTTTTTCTGTGTAGCCCTGGCTGTCCTGGAACTCGCTCTGTTGACCAGGCTGGCCTCTGCCTCCTGAGTGACACCTGGCAACTCTTTTTAAAAAATTAAAGCTTTTTATTATTGCGTATGTGAGTGACCTGTGTGAATGCCATTTGGTGAGCATACAGAGGTCAGAGGACAGCTTTAGAGTCAGCTGAACCAGCCTGCCATCCTCTCAGAACACTCTCCCTAGCCACAGTGGTACTCCAGGTGGCCACGCTGAGGGTGCTCCCCAAGCCCCAGTCATTACCTACATTTCTATTTGGGGTACAGGGTTGTTCTTCTCCAGACTCTTAAAAGATCCTCATCTGTCACCTATCCCTCCTAAAAGATGACCTCATCTGTCACCTATCCCTGCAGACAAGGGCTTCTCTAACTTGAGCAACTGTCCTGGGCATGGCCCTGCTTCCGGCTGCTGGAACTGAGCCCAGCCTGGTCAGCAGGTAAGCCCCAGGCTCAGGCAGTGCCCACGGTGAACAGCAGTGGGGACAGGCCTCTGTGGTGCCTTGTCGGTTCTCTGGACCCTCCAACCTACAGGACACCTTTGCCACACACCCAGGGCTTCTCCTCCCCACAGGGGCCAGTTAGGTCTGTTTTCAGGTACGGAGCAGCAGTGTTGGTCTAAAGGCGGGACTGTGGGGTAGACTTACACAACACACTCATCAACCCAGCATTCCTGAATGCCTGGCCCACGGGCTCCTCAGGGCAGCAGGCTCCTTGCTGAGTGTGTTTAGATTACAGTGCCTCTCAACTTTCCTAACGCTGCAACCTTAAACATAGTTCCCCAACCATACAGTGACTTCTGTTGCTACTTCATAACTGTAATTTTGCTACAGTTATGAATCATAATATAAATAACTGATATGCAGGATATCTGCTATGTGACCCCCAAAGGGTCGTGACCCACAGGTTGAGAACTGCTGGTTTAGAAAGAACCCTTCCTTCATGATCTCCACCCTATGGGAGTCGGGTCCTCTAGACCCTTACGTTGGACATCTCCTCTTCCTGACTTTACCCTGCCAGGACATTCTGAGTTGAGCCTGGTCTCTGCACTACAAGCCCCTGTAGAGGTGACACTGGCTGAGTCACTGGGCCATTTGTGAGCAGAGACAGACACTTACCACGTCAGCCACATGTTCAACGAAGATGTGGTTGCTGAACTTGATCTTCTGGACCACCTCCCCAGGCACATCTGTCCGCAGCTGCTGCTGCTGTTCAATGAGCTGCCACAGGCGCTTGCTGGGGAAGACATCCTCTGTGCAGATGTAGACAGCCCCTGGGAAGCCAGAACACCAGTGTGCACAAGAATTGGAAATGGGTCCGTGGCCACAAAACCAAATGTAGCCTCTGCCTGTCTGCCTCTGTCCTTTTCACCCAGAAGGGCAGCAGGCTCAATGTGGTTCTTATCCCACCTTTGGCTACCTTGCTGGTCCCTTCGAACACAGGCTAGCCCTCTGCTCTGACACCTCCATTCCCACCCCCTGTTCCTGGATACCCTGATAGCTCATTCCTGCTCTCCAGTTCCCCGCTGGGTTGGACAGGACAGGGCAGAGATCACCAGGGTCAAGAGACTTTGGAACATGTTCCTCAGATGCAGGACAACTCGCAGGCTCCTGCCACTGTCTCTACTTGACGATGCCAGAGAGTGGATGAACAGGCCTGAGCACTGGTCACCTGGAGCACCAACAGTCCTTGTGTAGTGCACTGTTGGGTCAAAGGCCACCCAGGTCCTGCAGCTGAGAAGAGCTGGGTCACTAGCAGGAAAGCCGGTATTTGTGGGCAGTGGGTTCTCAGCAAAGACGCCAATGCCTCAACTGAGAAATTCTTTCCCATAGAGGGTGCTGGGACTCTTGGAGTCCACATGCTTAGTTTGAGAACTCTCGGGGAAGATGCCAGTGGCTTGTCAAAGACATCAAAGCACAGATGATAAATGTTTTTCCTAAGATGAACACTGTTTGTGTTTCAAAGGACTCGGTTAAGAAAGCAAAGATCAGCTGGGCGGTGGTGGCGCACGCCTTTCTTTAGTCCCAGCCAGAACAGGAAGCAGAGGCAGGCAGATCTCTGAGTTTGAGGCCAGCCTAGTCTACATAGTTCCAGGACAGCCAGTACTACACACAGAAACGCTGTCTTGAAAAACCAAACAAAAAAGAAAGCAAAGATCATCCACAAAAGGAGGAAGCACAACTGACAATATTCTGGATGCAGATATAAATATTTAACTATCTCTGTTGCGATGGTAGGGTCTCACTCCGCAGGCCAGACTCACTGTGGAGCCAGGCTGGCCTCCAACTTGCATTGACCTTCCTGCCCCTGCCTCCTGCAGGCTGGGGTTACAGGTACAAAGCACCACAGCTAGATGCTGGTTTTGGGTTTTTTTTGTTTGTTTGTTTTTTCTTTTTCAAGACAGGATTTCTCTGTTTAGTAGTCCTGGAACTCGTTTTGTAGACCAGGCTGGCCTCGAACTCACTGAGATCTGCCTGCCTCTGCCTCCCAAGTGCTGGGATTAAGTGCATGTGCCACCACCGCCCAACTTGGATGATGGTTTTTAAGACTCCGTGGGCAGGAGGTACTTCAGAAATGGCTCTGGCTCTGACGGGTGTGTCTCGGAAGAAGGCACATCAGAGGCTAATGTTCATTGCTACCAACCTCAGGAGCTGGTGGGGACACCCACACCCACTGCCTCCAGGAGTGCTGGTGGGGACACCCACACCCACTGCCTCCAGGAGTGCTGGTGTACAAGACAAGCTTTGATGAGGACCAGGGAAAGGAGCCTTCCTTCAGCCATTGTTTTTGGGACAGAAAGCAACGTGAAGTGGTGCTGTGGTGAGGCTCCAGCTGGTGTACAACAGGGCAGAGTTCAGGAGTCACCCTGGAATCCCTAGACCTGCTCCCTGTCTTGGGCATAGGACCCCAAACACAAATGGCAGAGCTGTTGGCTTGTTTTGCAGGCAGCTATGACCATGGGCCCACAGAGGGCCCAGGCAGGCAGTTTGGGGAGTCCCCCTGCGTCAGAGCCACCACATGCTGCTCAGACCACTGGCCCTGACCGGGACAATGCCACGTGTTCTCTGCCCTGCCCCTCTGGCTCTGTGGGCCGAGTACAGGGGTGAGGTGCCTCAGCTTACGTTGTGTGACAGCTGCAGGACCGGCTGGTACCCTGCTAGCTCCTTCCCACAGCCTAAGTACAGCGTCACCTTCCACCTCCTCTTCTGGACGAAGACAGTCATGGGAAGCCACCCAGGGGACAGCCGCTACCCCCCAGGGAGGGGCAGCCACTCACCAGCCTCCAGGCCTCCATACTGTCGTGGGAACTGCACGGTCAGGCACAGCTGTAGCGCCAGCTGCGTCTTCCCTGCCGAGCTTCGGCCAGCCAGGTCAGTGACACCCTCCAGGGGCAGGCCGCCACCCAGGAACTGATCCAGGACCGGGCAGCCCAGGCTCAGGCGCTGATGCTGCTCGGGGAAGCTCTCCCTCTGCCGGAACAGCTGCAGCGCTGCAGGGAGCAGGGGTCAGCAGGGTCAGCATGCTTCCTTCCGGCCTGTGCCCCGCCCAGGGCCTGCTAGGGCCTGTGAGCCTAAGGCCTTTAAGGAAGTGCTGGTCCAGATGCAGCAGACTGGCAAAGTCCATGGGCTGGGTGCTGAGGTCAGACGGCAGGCAGCCTGGCCGTGCGGCTGAGTACAGTGCTACATAAGAGCTCGTCCCTGTCACACTCCCCAGGATGCCACACATACTCGCTAGTGGGCATAAGCTGCTAGAGAAACCCAAGTCTGGGTGTAGTGTGTGCACCTTTAATCCCAGCACTTGGGAGGGGAGGCATCTCCATGAGTTTGAGGCCAGCCTGAGCTACAGAGGGTTCTAGGACAGCCAGAATGACATAGAGAGATACTATCTTAAAAAAAAAAAAAAAAAGAAAAGAAAAGAAAAGAAAGAGGAACCCTGAGCTCCAGGATGTGGCAGGGTACCCTCCCCTCAGCTGACTTTCTGGGTCTCCATAGTGCTGGACAGCTTCAGCAGGAAGAGAAGACGAGCAGCAGCCTGTGACAACGCACGGTGACAGTTCTGAGCAGTGTCAACTTCAGGTTAGACATCAGTGAGGCAAAGCCATCACAAGGACGCCGTGTCCGGAAGTGGCAGGGCTTCTCACAGCCGCCCCTACCGTACCACTGGGACCCCAACTTCATCCTTTACTGTGAGGGCTGCCTCTGGTACAAGTACTCCAGGGGGGCTTTGTAGAGGAGCCGAGGGCCCCAGTGCTCAGTGCTCTGTGATATGGGCTGTTCTCTGTGGGCTCTGGACAAGTCACTTGGACTACCTCTCATAGGGGAGGCGGACAGGCTCAGGGCAGCTGCTGTGAGATCATTCCCAAGACAGAGTCTGGAGCCCGTGGGGATGCCCACCCAGGTCTGTGCCATCCATCACCCCAGCAGCCACCCCAGGTGCCAGCCGGAAGATGCTTCCCTGCCCACCTGTAAGGACACGGCTGCCCTGAAGGTGTAGAGAGGCCACTTTCAGCAGGTGGTGCACATCGTGTGTGGGCAGGCTGGTGAGCCGCTGCAAGTCTGGGCCGGAGTAGCACAGAACCTCCTTCACGGACTTCAGTCTACCTGAAGTCACACCGATAAACCACAGTGAGTCAGGACGCTCAGCAAGGGTGGCAGGGGAGGGGAGAGCTGGGCCTCCAGAGCTGGGGACACCAGTGACGGTAACTCCATTCACCCAGAAGTCTTGGGGAGAGTGAGTAGTGAGTAGAGAGGAGGGAGGGGACTGCTGAAGGGACCTGCTGCTGCACCCTTGTGACCTGGCCGTGACTCTCATGTCAGCAGCAACAGGATCCAGAGGTGAGGGCGAATCCTGGTGTCACCCTGTCCCACTCTTTGTCCATAGTCCCAGCTACTTGGGAGGCTGAGGCAGGAGGATTGCTGGAGCCAAGGAGTTCAGGGCCAGTTTGAGATACACAGCAAGACCCTGTATTTTAAAACCAAAACAAAAAGTGTGACTGTGGAGTTGGAGGTGTGGTGTGGGAGAGTGCCTGTCGACCATGCACAAAGCCCTGGAGTTGACTGACGTCCACAGATGGAGAAAGGGCAATGTAAAAGCCAACTCTGAGCCACGCCAGGGCAGGGCAGGGCAGGGCAGACCAGGAGGCTGAAGGGCAAGCAGGGCCTGGGTGCAGACAGGCCAGGGCAGGGCAGACCAGGAGGCTAAAGGGCAAGCAGGGCCTGGGTACAGACAGGCCAGGGCAGGGCAGGAAGTAAAGGGACCTCACAGCTAATGAGCCAAGGGCCTGCTGCTTGGGGAGAAGGGTAAAGAAATTAATTCTGGCCAGCCGTGGTGGCGCACGCCTTTAATCCCAGCACTCGAGAGGCAGAGCCAGGTGGATCTCTGTGAGTTCGAGGCCAGCCTGGTCTACAGAGCGAGCTCCAGGACAGGCACCAAAACTACACAGAGAAACCCTGTCTCGAAAAACAAAACAAAACAAAATATTAATTCTGGGCTTGGATTTACTTTCTATTTTCAAACCAGCTGAAAGAAGAAACTATTATCCCAGCACTGGCAGTCAGAGGCAGGAGGCTCTCTGTGAGTTCAGGGCCAGACACAGTGAGTTCCAGGCCAGCCAGGGCCACACGGTGACGCCCTGTTGCAATTAAAAAGAAGAAAAGAAAAAATGACTGCAGGTGCGTCAAACCCGTTCACACAGTGGCAGGAAGATCTGCCATGGAGATGAGGGCTGGGCGGCTTGCCCACAGCAGCCCTTCAGGAACTCAGGGGCAGAAGGTGCCCCGACAGAGTAGCCCACAGGCAAAACAGCCCTGAGACCCTCTTTGAAAAGGAGAGGGCACACAGGCTTGATGAGCAGCTCTCCACAGTTCGTCTTACCCAAAGTGCACGTGTGTAGCTGCCCACTTCGCGCAACATACCCTTCTTAATTGCAGCAATAATTCTGGGGTTTAGGTCCAGTTGATCCAAGTCCATTTCCTCAGTGGGTTCACCACGAGCATGAAAAACTTCCAGCGAGACACAGTGATGGCAACAAATTCCAATGTGCTTGCTGTTAACTTGGACTACCTGTGGGAGTGGGCATGTTAGAAAGCGACACACTTAGAGGGCTGTCTGTTGTGAATGCTCACCTCGACATCAGTGTAGTTAGGGGTTGCAGAATATTATTTTAAGGTGTGTTACTTTTGCTTATGTTGCATTTGTTTAACGCTGTGAAGCTGTGTGACTGTGCCTGTCTAAAACACCTGATGGTCTAATAAAGAACTAGCCAATAGCGAGGCAGGAGAAAGGATAGGCGGGGCTGGCAGGCAGAGAGAAGATACAGGAGAAATCGGGGAAAAAAAGTAGCCAGAGGAGGAGGAATCCAGGGGTCAGCCACCCAGCCACACGACAAGCCACAGAGGAAGAGCAAGATTTACAGAAGAGAGCAGAAAAAGCCCAGAAGCAAAAGGTAGATGGGATAATTTAAAGTTAAGGAAAGCTGGCAAGAAACAAGCCAAGCTAAGGTTGGGCATTTGTAACTAAGAATAAGCATCTGTGTGTAATTTATTTGGGAGCTAGGTGGTGGGACCCCCAACAGAGCCAAAACAAAGAACAACGTGTTCCACCAAGGGCGGAGGACAGGTGTCACTGTCTTGGAAACACTATCCATGAAAGCCCAGGATAGTGCTTCTGTTTGCCTAGGCTCCTCCAGAGGTTAGCACAGAACAAATCCAGCTCTCCCTATCATCCTGAAGGTGGCAGTGCCTGAGGCTCCGTTGGGAGAAGAAAGCGTGCTGCACCCATTTAACTTCTTGGGGCCTGCGTGGTTCTAGGCCTACATGCATGGGTCTCACCCAGCATTTTCTAACGTTTTGTGAGTTTGGAGTTTTGAAGGATGCTGTGGGGAACCACACCTAGTCAGAGGACAAGAAGGCGGGGGGAGGGGTCAGGGCTGCAGCTCCACCTCACTGGAAAGCACTAGGAGACCCTCCCAGGAAGGGACCTGGGAGGACAGCAATGGGCCTCTTACCCTCCCACTGGGGCTGGCAATGCTAGGACCAGTCCGACATTACAAAGGATGTGTCCAAAGATACACTGCAATCTCATGCATCGGTTCAAATGACAATGCCAAGAGCGCTGTGTGTGTGTGTGTGTGTGTGTGTGTGTGTGTGTGTGTGTGTGTCTTGCTGTGCATGTGTGAGGACGATGAGGATGTGGAGATCCGGTGCTGGGCAGGCCTGCCAGTAATCCCAGCATTCAGAAGGCAGCGACAGGGCATCTTCAGAGCAGGCTGACTAGCGCATCTGTGAACGGAGTTCAAGTGAGACCCTGCCTCAGTATAGAAGACCAGTGTTTGAGGAATACATCGGACATCAGCTTCTGGCTTCCACACATGTACACACATCAGCACAAATCCAAACAGGCATATACACATGCACATTTGTTTACAACACACAAACACATACACCTGGGTGTGGGGTGCTAAGGTCAGTAGCTGAGGGCCAGCTGAACGTTGGGCCAGCATCTTGTATGAGGCTTAGCACTTTAAAAATAGCTGAGTGAAGTCTCCAGTTGTGGGCACCAGAGGCTTCCCTGGCAGTGCTAAGGATGCAGTGTGTGTAGGAGTCACTTCCAGACCATTGGACCGCCATCCCCTCCCTTTCTGCAAGGAGACAAAGCCTGGCAACAGTAGCAGTAGGAAGGCCAAGAGACTGGGGCAAGCCTGCGCCAGGCAGCTGCAGGGCAGGAGGGAAGCTGGGCTTGAGAACATGCTTCCTGCGGAGGACACAAAGCTCCTGGTAAAAGAACTCAAGGGTTCCACAAGCCATCAGCTAACCTCGTCCAGCAGTGAACCAGAGTGATCACAGGGCTCGGGCTGACAACCAGCTGGTGGAGGCTGGACAGGGGACACAGATAGGGCCGGGTTCTGGACATGCACCAGCAACTGCCAAGGCCTTGAGGCAGCCAGCCCCGCCTTGCTTTACAAAGTTCCACTGAGCAACTTTTACTTCAACACTGAGGACTGTGGAGGGGCCCAAAGTAGCTTGACCACACAGCAGCCATGACAGGCTTAGGGGCCTAGACACAGCTTCTGTGACAGGCTTACTGGCAGGCAACACCCAGATCCAGGAAAAGCCTGAAGCTGATACCACCCAGGGGTGAGGAAGTACCTGACATCCCAAACATTCCAACCATTAGATAAGGTGGCCAGATGTCCTTGAGTCTAGCACACACCTATTTTTTGTTTTACAGATACTCCTAGACAATTGTCAGCCAATCAGGGTCCTGGACCCTGGAAATCCCCTCACCCCAACCTCTGCTATGATAAAATCTCTGCCCTCCCCTCAGCTCAGGGCTCTCTGCTCTCACCGCTGTGTTGGACAGAGGGACCAAGCTCTGGAGTGTGAAATAAAGGCTCTTTGCTTTTACATGCCGGATTTGGTCTCCGTGGTGGTCTTTTGGGGGTCCCCGAGATCTGGGCATAACAAGGACCTGTGTCCCAGACACTGGTGGCACGATGCTCCACTTGGTCGCCTGTCTTCCTGCCTTCTGGCGAGGTAGGGCTACACCAGCCTATCCCTCCAACTGGGGAGCAGGCTGTGACAGTGAGCCAAGCTCCTGGGTCGCTCTTTTGGAAGCGAGGTAAATTACCCAAAGAAACCAGAGATTAGATGCGCGTGGTGGTAGCTCGCTCCTGGGTAGTAGTAGGTAGAACTGCGGGGAGTCCAAGGCCAGCCTAGGCTACATGTACAATGACATTCCGTCCTTAAGAACGCCATCAAGAAAAAAGTCACAGGTCAAGTCTGCAGCGACCGTCACGTTGTGGCTGGCCGGGGACCCTGGTGCTGAAAGAGCGCTCCCTAATGCTGTTACTGAAGGCGCCCGCGGAGAGGGCCGGACTCTGGGTTTGATTCTCCTAACCCCGCTACGGGCCTGAAGGGGTGCCCCGCCGGGGAAGATCGTTCTTTGAGCCCCGGCCTGGGCCTGGGCTGTTCGAAACCCACCGTGTCCTCAGCTCTGGCCCCTCGCGATCGGCTCACCTGCAGGCTCGGCCGCCTTGAGAGATCTCCCGCGCGCTCCGCCCGCTCCGGAAACCCCGCCCACCCTAGGCTTCTCTTCCAATGAACGGCTGGAATCCGAGTCTGCCACACCCAACAGAAACGAAGAGGAGTCCACGTGGCTGATTAATTAGCCAATCCGAAGTCGCAGTCTCCTCGAGAGGCGCAGAGGGCGCCCCCCAGCCCTCGCCGCCGATTGGTAGCCGGCAGCAGGGGCGGGGACCTTGAGCTGATTGGAGAAGGGCGGTGCTGGGGCGGATACTACTCTCCGATTGGCTCGTGTTCCGAGCTGCGGTTGCGGATTGGACTCCGGCACTGTCATGGTGTCGGAGGGCGGGGCGGGGCGGAGAGGCGCCCTGTGTGGGCTCAGCGCGGGCGGTGGTGCGAGGGGCTCAGGCGGAGACATGTCCTCGGGGGTGGCCGCGCGTTGCGACGCCAAGAAGCTTGTGCGCTCGCCCAGCGGCCTGCGCATGGTGCCAGAGCACCGCGCCTTCGGAAGCCCGTTCGGCTTGGAGGAGCCGCAGTGGGTCCCGGACAAGGAGGTGAGTCCTAGCCCCTGCGTCCCCAGCCGGAGCCTGGGCGTCTCCCGCCTCCGCCCTCGGGGCGCTCGGCCTCGGCTCCCGTCGGGGAGTCTCCGCCGTCCCTGCAGTGCCGTGGGGGCGGTGTCTGTTCCCTGGCGGTCATTGGCTGCGCGGTGCAGAGCCGGGGGCTGCTTGCGAGTACGGGGCTGGAGTGGGTCGGTGGGGGCGAGGGTGAGGGAGTCGGCCCCTCCTGCCTACTGGAGGTACGATGCCAGGAGTTTGCAGTCTTCGGAGTTCTGAACTCTGCAGAGCTTGGCCACTTGGGGAAAATGGGAGCACTTCATGCATTCCATGCGAGTTTATTTCAGAGTAAATTAGAAGGCAGATGCGTTAAGTACTGGTGATTTTTGTATACTTAAAACTTTTTACGTGGATTTATTCGTATGTGTATGTGCCCTTGCCCCCAATCCACAGCGCGCGCATGTAGATTCAGAGGACCACTTGGGGAAGATAGTTTTCTTCTTCCACTATGTGGGTCCCGCGGGTGGAACTCAGGTCTCAGGTGTGGCAGCACGTGCCTTTACTTCGTGAGCCATCTCTGTAGCCCTTGTAAATTCATTCATTTTTTTTTTTTTCCCCTTAAAGTGGGTCTTCACTGTATAGCCCTGGCTGTTCTGGAACACACTACATACACAGTCTGGCCTAGAACTCAGATAGATATGCCTGCCTCTGCCTGGTGCTAGGCATGCACTACCTGTTGCTGTGTTGGCCTCGAACTCACTGTGGTCTTCCTCAGCCCCCTGCGTGGTGGGATTAAAGTTGCGCTCCACCACACCTGGCTTCCTCCCAATTTTCTTAAGTTGGAATCTGTGTTCAGAACTCGTAATCAGCTGCTCCTCTCCCCTCGGGATCTCATCCATAAGTAGGCAAGGCCCGCAGCTTCCCAGAGCTAGGGCCAGCGTTCTTAGAACAGTGAGCACAGGGCGTTGGAGAACCCACCTGTGCGATCAGAAGCTGCAGCTGCCTGTCCTCGCCACTCCACCCCCCTTCCCAACTCTGAAATTACTTGAGAGTTCCTAAAGAGAAGGTTCATGTCAGTAGTCACTTCTTAGCGCCCAGAAAGGGGGCCCAGACCATTCCTGGGTATGCTGGGCATGTCACTGAGCGGTCCCTGCCCTCCCTGGTTGTGCCATTTCAATTCTGTATTTACTCTTGCGCTTAAGTATCTGTGCACACAGATTGTTCTTTTCTTTCATGTCTGTAAAGGTAATTGAGCACAACACCGAGTGCTCCTAAACCCCTGAACTGTGTAATGGGTAAGGTTAAGGCATGATTAGGTAGATAGATGTCCGAGTACAGGGCCAGCCTGGACTATGTAGTGAGTTCAGGCCAGCCAGGGCTACACAGTGAGACCCTGTCTTAAAACGGCAAAAATAAGGGGGAGTTGGATAAGATTGGGACACAGCCTGTAACTCTGTAACTCCAGCCCTTGGAAGACTGAGACAGGATAAGAGAGTTTATGGCCAGCCTGGGATACATAACTGTTTCAGAACAACAAAGAGCAGTTGCTGGGGAGGCGGCTTAGTGGGTAAAAGCGCTTGTTGTGAATGAGTTTCAGTGTTAACACCCAGAACTGGGCAGGCATAACTGTTTGCAGGAGAGCCCAATAAAGCACAGATTGAAATAGGGGGCACACGTGTGTGTGTGTGTGTGTGTGTGTGTGTAGTCCAGTTGGGGTAGAAAGCCATGCTTGTGGGGAACAGGAGAAACTGAGGTTCTTGGGAAAGTGTTCTCACTGGCTCTAGACTAGCTTTCTCAAGATTTTCCCTGTTGCTCTCCAAGGAGCCTTTAAGTTAGGTGTTCTTACCTGATGCAATCTTTATATAAGACTTTATAATTTACTCCCCATAAAATCTGGACTGGCAGAAATGCCATGTCCGTGCCAAGATGGAGGGAGGTTCTGTGACAGGTAACTAACTGTACCAAGGAGGAGGAGGGCATGGGCTCTGTGTCCCAGGTCAGGCAGAAAGGGCTTTGCTTTGTAGGAGTGACCAAGGCCGGAAGAGAGGGCAGACCAGCGTAGGTGGCGGCTCCCACAGAAGGTGGGGTGGGGAGGGGTTGCTCAGGGCCTGATGGAGGAGAGTGCCTACTCTGCAGTCCAGTCAGGAATCAGGCCTGCGCTGCACTTGGCACTCGAGAACCCAATTCAGCCTTATGGGGCAAAGAATGGTGATCTGGAGTGCCTGCCAAACCTGGCCTGGCGCGGAACCCAAGGGGCCTGTGCCTGTGATCTTGGTTGGCCCTGGGGGAAGGGTGGGATCTCACAGTTGTTTTCCACGGATCACAGTGTAAAGCTCACCTTGTGCTCTTCAAGAGCCTCCCTGTGTGTTCTAGCTCTGTGACCAGCAGCCCTGGGGCGGGACTGGCCAGAGGCTTCAGTCCCGTGGCTGAGATTGGTATAAACGAGAAAGTTCCTGCTCTGCCTCCAGGCTGTAGTTAGCTCCTCCATTCATCGTCTTTGAGTTGTTTGACAGCTCTGTAAACCGGAAAACCGATAGCAGTCCCTGTTGGGATTTCTATGGAACCGCACTCTGGGGCAGCCAGCTTCCAGCCGCTGACAGTTTCATTTCTTCCTTGTCTCATGCTTATATGTGCATGTCTGCACTTTGTTTTCTTGTCTGTGCACCACATGCAGGCTTGGTGCTTGCAGAGGGGATTGGGTCCCTAGAACTTGGTTTTGAGCCACCATGTAAGTTCTAGGTACTGAACTCGGGTTTTCTGCAAAAGCAGCAAGTGCTCTTGAGTGCTGAGCTGTTTCCACAGCTCCTGAACTGTTTTTTTTTTTTTTTTTTTGGTTTTTCAAGACAGGGTTTCTCTTGTAGTTTTGGTGCCTGTCCTGGAACTCACTTGGTAGCCCAGGCTGGCCTCGAACTCACAGAGATCGGCCTGCCTCTGCCTCCTGAGTGCTGGGATTAAAGGCGTGCGCCACCACCACCCGACCCAAACTGGTTTTTTTTTTGTTTTGTTTTTGTTTAAACAACTCATTGGCTTCCCATTTTGATTAATAGTCTTTGGCATTGGTGTGCGTGTGTGTGTGTGTGTGCGTGTGTGTGCGCGCGCGTGTGTGAGTAGAGGCCAGGCTTCAGGCTGTTCCTTCAGTCATTCACTATCTCATCTTTTCACACAGTCTCTCACTGAATCTGGAGCTCACCTATTGGCTGGACTGGCTGCCCAGTGAACTCCAGGGATCCGCTTTTTTCCACCTGCCCAGTGCTGGGATTACTGGTGCACGTGGCTGTGCTCAGCTTTTCTGGGGTGTGTTTTGGGAGTACTTCACCAGCTGAGCCATCTCCCAGCACCCCCGTTTTTAACTTTAATTTTTTATCATTGTGTGTAAGTGTGTATGGTGTGTGTGTGTGTACATGTGCCTGCAGGCACGCATGGATTACCCTGCACATGTAGAAGGCAGAGGAGAACTTTGAGGGTCAGTTCGTTCCTGTTGCCGTGGAGTCTGGGCTTGAGCCCAAGCCTGACGGCAGCACTTTACCTTTGAAGCCATCTTGCTAGGCCCGCTTTCTTATTGCTTGCTTGCTATTTATTTATTTATTTATTTTGAGACAAAGGCTCACAAAGTTGTCTGGGCTGGTCTTCTGATTTCAGTGGTTTGAGCTTGCCTTGAATTTGTGATTCTTCTGCTTCGTCTCCTAAGCAGCTGCAGCTGCAGATGCCAGCCACTCCGAGGCCCCCCTAAGTTATGTGATCTTGTGATCCAGAGCCTGATGCACTGGCCCATGGGCGGGCAGTTTTTACACAATGGTGGATTAAGGACAGTGGGGTCAGGGTTGTCTCATCGCTCCTTCCTCAAAGGGAGGTAGATGTTTGTCTTCAATGCTGGGTTTTTTGTTTTTTATGTGTATCTGAATGTTTGCCTGTGTGTGTGTATGTGCACCATGTGTGTGCCTGGTGCCCACAGAGGTCAGAAGGGGGTCATTGGATCCCCTGGAACTGGAGTTACAAATGGTTCATCATGTGGGAGCTGAAAATCGAACCCAGGTTCTCTGCAAGAGCAACAAGTGCTCTTAACCTCTGAGCTATCCCTCTAGTCCTTAAACCTTGTTCTTTTTGTAAACACCCACTTAAGCTTACAGTGTTATTTTGAGACTACATTCACCTTGTGCTATCCTATCTGCTGTCAGATGTCCCTGAAGCTGTGGGTAGGAGGCTAGTCCCAAAGAGCTGGAATGTTGGCCCCTGAAGTGTGGACTGTGGAGGGGAGGTGGACTCCACCTTCTGAGTACTCCTGACCTAGCTCTGGTTTTGCCCTGGGTCCCTCTCGTTCCTTGCTCCTCAAGGCTGTCTCACTTAGCTGGAAGACCTTCTGAGCAGGTGCCACTGGGTCAGACTTGAATGGACCACCATTGAATCAGCAGGTGCTCTGGGGCCTGGTGCTGGGAAGGGGGCACAGGTGGAGATTTTCTGGGTGGGCTCACTCTTACTGTCCTGTCTCTTTGTCCTAACCTCTGTCTCCTGACTGACCAGCTTCTTCCCTCTCTGCAAGGTGGAAGCACAAGGCACTGTGGGGCACAGGGAGCACGGCAGCCTGCCTCGCCCAGGCCATGAGTAGTGTCTGCTAGCCTTGGCCAGAGGCTCGGACAGCAGGTGGGTCTCCTGGGGCCACTGCTCAAGCCGATTCTCTGCCCTCAGTCTCTCTCCTCTGTTCCTGGGCCAGGCACGCAGGGTCCCTAAGCCTAGTCTGCTCCTCTGGTCTCAGTTCTGGGGTCCGTGCCCTGTAACAGAGGTCTGACACGGGGCGTGGAGTGATGCCTGCCGCCGACAGGTGTGCTGCACAAGTGAGGCAGTAGGTTTCGGGGCGTGGGTAGTGTATCCTCGTCTGCTGAAATAGCTGTGTCATGTGCAGGCCCAGACGAGGGAGGAGCTGCTGCAGCTGGTCCGCACCTGCGCCCTTCTCCCCCGGGCAGGGCCCCCCCCGGGGGGGGGCTCAGGGCTGATTCTGTGGCAGG